CAGAACCAATGCACTGCAGGTTACATGTTTGTTTTACATTTTTCAATAAAATACCTCTTTTTTAAATATATTACAGGTAAGCATGCACTGTGCTGCACACCTGCCTCTGTGCTGGTGAAGTTGTGGGTCTGGAGGATGAGCCTGAGGAAGATGAGTGTGGAGGAGGTCAGTGGTGTTCTGTCCTGGAGGAGGTACCAGCAAACCACCACTGCTGTTAACTGGCAAGTCATTTATGTAGGAACCTCTATTTAAAAAACAACCCTGTGGTTTTATTTTCTGAAGAGTCACAATTGTTATACCAGTGGATCCATAAACCATCTCCTCATTTCATATTTCTGAATACGTCTTAGAGATGTAACAGCCATCGTCTGAGCCAGCCCAGCAGGCCCTGTAAATGGACGATAGAGTGGACAGTGAGAGGAAGCATCCCAAAGCTCTCTCTCTGCAGACTGTCCTGTATGATGTTCCTCTGACCAGAAACGTCCAGCCACGGATCTGTTCCAGCTTTCCATCCATGTCTGGATCCTCCTGCAGCAGATCCAGCTACACTGCCAAAGACTTCCTGCTCATTCAGTTCAAATAAATGATCCAGGAAAAGACTCACTCAAGTTAATCCTGCTTTAACCGTACATAATTGGTCCATATTTGTTTTGATCTGTAAATAATTGTCAAGTATTATAAACAATCTTGTCTCCTTACCATCTTTCCATTTTCTGTTCATGTAACATGTTCAAAAACATCTTTAAATAAAAAAAACTGGTAATAAAATGAATGATCAAAAGAGTTCTCAGTTAGTATTTGTTTTAATAAATGTGTTTAAATATCAAACAGCTAAATAACATTAACATGATAACAAGAGAAGGCCTCTCTCCCAGGAGGACCACCAGGTAAAGCCTCTCCTGTCCCTGGACACCTGCAGTCCTACAGATAAATCAGAGACCACAGGTGACAAAAAGGCAATAAACACATTTTAACATTTATCCAAATGAGAAGATAAAACTTATATTCTTCACACAAACTATTTTAATTGTTCATTAAAGCGTGTCAACTGTGTAAATCCCTGAATGTAAAACTGTAGTTTTCACAGCAGAACACAGGGTAAACTACTGTGGTCATGTGTAAACAGCTTCACTCTTCACTTCTACTAAGCTTAATAAAAACACTTCTTTGTTCTGTTGCCCTTAAAACAAATGATAAGAAGCTTAATTTGCTAAAGAAACACAAACACACACACACACACACACACACACAATTTTAATTGTTCTTTAAAACATGTCAACTGTCTGCATTTAAAACTGTGCTTTTAACAGCAGAACACACGATAAACTATTGTGCTCACGTGTAAACAGCTTCACTCTTCACCCCTAAGCTTAATAAAAACACTGTTTTTTCTAAAACAAATGGCAAGTTTAATTCGCCACACACACACACGCGCACGCACGATTTTAATTGTTCTTTAAAACATGTCAACTGTCTGCATGTAAAACTGTGTAAAACAGCAGAACACACGATAAACTATTGTGGTCATGTGTAAATATCTTCACTTTTCACCTCTAAGCTTAATACAAACACTGCTGTCCCTAAAACAAATGACAAGTTTAATTTGCTACAAAAACGCACACACACACACACACACACACACACACACACACACACACACACACACACACACACACACGGGAATAACTATGGGACCTGCGACACAAACTCGTTCTGGCTGATTTCTGCCTAAAATGTACTTTAAAAAACACATATACAAACGAAAAATGTGTATAAACTGAACCACTTTAAGCTTTTTGTTTTCTACCGCTAGTTTTTAGGCAAACTTATGTTTAAAACTTTGCAGCTCTTCCCATTTTCCTTTCCTGTTGAAAATCCACAGCCAGCGCATAAAGCATGCTGGGATACCTCGGACACATTTGAGGACGCGAGAATGAGCGTTCTTGGAATTCGGACAGTACTCGTTGCTGTGCTGTGACGTCATCAACCTCAAAATGCGTCCTCACAAGCATCCTGCCCCTGGATTCGGACACACCCAATATGGTCGATCACTCTGGGTTCAACATGCAGGCTGAACGTGAAAATAGTCTTCTACCGCCATTTCTTGAATTTGCTGTAAATAGAAAGTAGACGTGGAAACGCTCAGAGTAGATAGCCAATCAGATCTACATCACACTGTAAAATTAGCAATCATGGGCTTGCCCATGTTGGCTGGTGATGGGGAAGTCTGTTGAAGATTTAGCTTCCCAGAAGCAGAAGCTAACGTTAGCTTTAGCAACTCCACAAGGTGGCAGAACTCATTCGGGCTCGTGTGGAGATACAACATCAACATTACGAGGCAAACAGAGTCAGTGGTGAAGTTGCGTTGTTATTAGCCAGTCAGAAGCAAGATGTCTGAATATCAGGACGTAAGACTACAAATCCTGTAGTTTTCTGCACCCCTCTCCTCTGGCTAACTTCTAGTTCCTGAAGCAGGAATGCCAAAACTTATTCCCGCCAATACTGACCTACACGTCCTTCATTTATACTAGCGACTACTGCAAATGTGTTGTGTTAACATAAATGGTGTTTTTTGTTGTTGGTTTTTTTTTTTTGTTTTTTTTTCCATGAAGATGTAAGCTAAAACTAACCACAAGTTTTATAAAGTACGTGCATCAGTAACTGCTGGGAGAGAAAATGGAGTTTTGTACATTGTGTGTGCTTTAATCCTGATGCTATTTAACAGCCGTGACACCTTGTTTGAGACACTGAAGGAAGGATGAGGCTAGAGGTTGTACACTCATTATCCATCAAAAAGGCATAACATTATCATGTTTGCTCATTTAATTAATGTTAATGTAGCTATGAGTTTGCTGTGAGGATGCTATAAAGTGCTCTTGAGCACAAGGTTCATTCATTAGCAATCGAGCTAACAACTGGTATACTCAATATAGCTTAATTGCAAACATGAATGAATTAATACTTATAACTTCATGATACAATTGCAAATGAGGGAGCTCTAAAGTGATCAAGAAAACAGCTGATCAGGTTCTGTTTGCATGTGGCTCTCTGCTGCACATTTTGAAAATAATATCTGGCATTAAACTTTATAATGAATTACTTTACCTGTCTTCTCCTGATGTGCTTCAATTTAATGTTTCCTTTCAGAGAATAGACCTACTTAGACTAGATAAACTTATTTTCTCACTGCCGTTGTGACTAGAAAGAGTAAAGAAGGTGAACTGTGTCAGAAAATGCTGCTTATATTTCCTGCAGAACAACTAGCAGCAGTAGAGCCTGAATGCATTTGTTAATACACAAACCTGTACTCTTTCAAGCCAAAATAGCTGCTGTGAAATTGCTTTAAAAATATTAAAAAGCACCTGTTTATCCTTGAAAACACACCATGCTGTGGAGGAAAGGGGAGCATTGCAGTGCTCTGATTTGTTTCCGCCTTAAAAACAGTATCATTGCCGAAGACTCATGAAAAATCTTACATTAAAGTTGTGCATCTAAACCAAAATAAATAGTTAAAATAAAATGTGCTGAGGTTTGGGACATGTTTTGTCTGTGTGCTTGGATGTAATGTAGTGTTCTGCCATGTGTCAAACCCAATCTGAGCCACAGATCCCTCATGTTTTAGTATTTATGTTTAGTAGTTTTATCTACAAGGGAAGGGGCACACCCTTCTTGTGAGCTGTTATTTCAGGGCAGAGTGTCTCTGAATATGTAGCTCTGTGACCAGGCCAATTATTTTGATGTATGGTAGTATTATAAAGCATATTCAGCATAAGGAGAGGAAAGAAAAAAACAGAGTGCTTACATTTATCTCCTGCTTTCTCTCTCTGCGCCTCTAAATTTTCCCACTATCTGTGTCACAGCCAAATACCGAGTTGAGACCAGTTTTTCATGACGGTGAAATTGGCGCTGCTCAGATTTGTATGAAGACAGTTTTACAGTGACATTTAAGCTGTTAATGTCACCAGGGAATGCTATTAATTATTTAGAATTTTCTCCTCTGACATGCTTATAAAACAGAACAATCCTTCAAAAACAGCCCATATGGGCGGACGCAGGGATTTCTATGGGTTTTAATGTCTTCATCATTAAAGACTCTGTACAAATGTAAAAGTTTATGGTGATTCTTTACTGTATGGAATGAGCATCAGCACAGTCTATTCCTCGTGATGAAAGAAACTGTATTTTTTATTATGGTAACCTTGATCTTTATTATCAATAATATATATAGGAAACATTTTTTGTGATTGGCTTAATGAACTGACCTGGATTGGAATGTTTATTATGTGAAGAGCCTTGAGACGACTCTTGTCGTGATTTGGCGCTATATAAATAAACTTGAATTGAATTGAATTATAAGTAATGTTCTGCACTATAAAATCCATGTTAGCTGAAACTGACTACCACTTAACTTCTACTTTCCACTGTCACAAACATTATTCATTCAACTTAATTAACTCAGTGCAAGCATCCAAAGCAAACCTACTTGTTATAATCAAGCCGTTTATGTTTGAAGCTGGATGTTTGTTTGTTTTTTTCCTTTGTCCTGAACCGGCTACTTTTAGAGCATTGCATAACATTTAAGAACACAAATGAGCCCCCAAAGAGGTTAATTTGACTCACGGTCTTTGTGTTTACTGCTGAGAAACTTTGCACTGTAAATTCTTTGCAACAAATGAGATCCTATTAAAAATTAAGCCAAATGGAGCAGTGTGGGCCTCAGAAGCTGCTGCAGCGTGCAATTTCTATTTTGCTGAGGCGAGGTCTTTGACTTAGCCTTGCTGTTCAATATTCTGTGAATAATTGAAGCTGACTTGACTTGCACCCGGTGTCGTTATTCAGTAAATCTACCGCTGACATTGTAAGAAAAATTATGCCGACATTGTTGCAAAAGAAGAAAAATAAATAAATAAGGCGAGTGCATCTGGCACTTTTGAACTTTCTCAAGCAATAGAATTGATCATGCTTCTGTTTATCACATTATCTTTTATTTATTGTCTTAGGTTGACTTGCTTGTTCCGACAAAGGTCACCGGGGTCATCACCCAGGGAGCTAAAGACTTCGGACACGTCCAGTTTGTCGGCTCGTACAAAGTCGCTTACAGTAACGATGGGGAGAGGTGGAACGTATATCAAGATCAGAAACAAGGAAAAGACAAGGTAAGCTCCTCAATGTTGGAAAAAAATCATAACAGCAATTATTTAGGTCAAAACTGAAAACTAGATTGTTTAAAGGGGACATGTTATGCAAAACTCACATCCATTTATGCTGCCGTGTGGGTCTCTTCTGCATCTAGAAACACTCCAGACATGAAAAAAAAGAAGTCCGTCCATTTTGTATCAGTGCTTAGTTTTAGGAATTATGTGCCTGAAACAAGCTGTTTCAAAAAGTCACCATTTGTGAGGTCACAAATGGGGAAATTAGCATAGAACCTCATCTCACTTAAATGAGGGAGCTGCTGCTGGATATCTGAGCTTCTCAGTTTATTGACCCTTTGCACCGACGTCACCTAATCACGTGGGTCCACCATGCTGGACGGCAAAAGCATGTAAACAGTGTAGCGTTAGGAAGTTTATAATGGTCTGCCCTTAACAGCTGCCCCTTCACACAGTAACACCGCCAAGGTCGGACGCTTGGTTCAGTATGTTTACATTCCAGGAGAAGAGACAGAAGAACAGAAGAAGAACGCTTTTCATTGATTAATCAAAGTACTTTATTTGTGATAAGCTAATCAAAGCATTTGTTGATCATTAATAATCAGGTGAATGATCTGTGAAATAAAGATGTCATGAGTTATGTGTTTAAATGAATAAACAGGGCTGCACCAGACACACTGATATGCATCACCATGGAAACGCATGACACATTGTTTTCAACCAATCAGAACTTTCGTCTGCGGTAGGGCAGAATCTGGTTTGTTTATGAAAGTAGTCCAATCCGGTTTACTAAGATTCTTAAACAACTGGGAGATATAAAAAGAAGGCAATGCCATTTTAAGTCAGTTCCACGTTAAGTTCCACTTTGACATCAGCTCTGCTCGATCCGAGCTCCAAGGAGTTACATCATACTCTCAACATTGTTTTCAACCAGCTTTCAACCCACCACCGCAAAGAGGAATACAGGCTGGCCATCTGTATTTCCTGTTTTAAGCTGAGATCTGTCAAGCTGGAGATTTCCGTCGTTTATACCAACGAGACAACGTTCTTTCAAAATAAGAGTGAACTTGCTGACGCATGCCAACCACTAACGGAGTTATCCTCAGACGGGCGTTGTGTGCTGTGACCGCTGTTTCACCAGCTCCAGTACAACCGAGGTCTTAGGACCTGGCAATTCCTGATCTACACGGGAGACTCCATCTAAGGTACGTGGTCACAGCAATATGGCGGCACATGTCATCAGCTTCTGAAGCCTCGTGGTAGCCTAGTCATAACAAACCAGACTCGCTACGTCAGCCTAGAGATTCTGAACCAAACACACACACACACACACCAACACGAAACATCTAAATCCATATGCATTCATCATTGAGATAGTCCTGGTAGATTGTAAGAATTTATAATTATAGAAATTAAAGATTCTTAAACTATCCCAACTCTCTTTTCTTGTCTCTCAGTCAATACAGAGTGTTTAAGTAAACTCCCTGATGATAAAAACAACCACTTCTGATTGATTACTTAGATTGTATAAATATACAAAATCAGGTAATTAAATTATTTAATTACAGTATATAAATATACAAACTTCAAATCACAACAACAGTGAGTGACACGAGTACTAAACATAGGGGAAAGTAGAGCCTGACATTGTTTTTGTGATCAAAACAAAAACAAAACTCCTCCAGCATTCCTTCAACTAGTTCATGCCCAGTTCAGTTATCAGAAGAAGTAGCGCATCTAGCCGGGGCTTACCAGCGTTAGGTTACGTTTTCTCTCCAGCTGTTCACCGATGTAAACATGTTGCTGACTTTGCCTAAATTAACCCCGCTGGATTTATAACTTTGTTATAAACAGCGTTTCACTTTACACCAATGGTGATTGTTAAAAAGTCCGGATCCCTTGTTGATGGTGGTGTTACCGGGTTCAGCTGCTGCTCTCACACTGGAATGAGAAGATTTCTGAACGGCGACGTTCATATAAATAAATAAATAACATCATTTTAACACACGTAATCATACATCAGAGCTTTAATATTGTTAATAATTGAATCGCTTTACTCTACAGTGGACGGCGCACATCATCCGTGGTGAAATACCCATCCTTCAGGATTATCAATAACTAGTATGCACACATCACATTTATCCCTGTCCCTGTCTTCCTCGTGAAATAAATGAACGTTAATCTTACCCGGTAAAAACATGGTCGCTGCAAATCTGAGGGCTGCTAGTCCACTTGACACGGCAGTTCATCTCCATCCTCAGTCTCCATCAAAGTTATTAAAAAAACAAAACTAGTTGAGTTTACATCCTTGTCTGTTAGTGCAGCCAACAACGCAGCAAGATAAAACCATTTTACTATCAAATCAACTAGATAAAAGGCTACAAACTGGTTTGTTTTGACTAGCTTCACTGGAGTTTCTATGGGTGTAAACAGTCTTTTTGTCGTCCATCATGGCGAAGGGGGCGGTCACATGAGTGGCGTGACATCACGTGCAAAGGGTCAATAGCAGCCTGAGTAGAGGATTGGTGGGTGTGGCCTGAAACGGCTCATTCTGGCAGGTACTGAAAATGTTCAGACTAAAACTGCCTAAGTCACATTATGTGATTGGGATTTTGTGTAAAGAACTTCATAAACATGCTTTTATAGATTATAGAACAATTATAACTTAATAAAATCGGCCATAAAATGCTCAATTTAACACATAAACAAAGTTAACTAATTACTTTTATTGGGAACAGAGTCAAATAGAAAAGTGTTGCTAGGAGCAATGCCACAAAGCCCAGGGATGAAACATTTTAATTAGTGAGACTCTGTTTGCTTGCTTGCTTCTTAAGCACAGGTCTGTTTTGCCATCTTTACATCCGCTCTCTTAAAAAACCTCTGGTGCAAGTGAGTGCAGCCATTGAAAGGAGTGGTAGTGCACCTCATCTTAAAAGCATACATAATAAGTACATTGATATTTTTTGCATTGTTTTATGATTGTTTTAATCCAAAATCATAATTGAAGGAGAAATGTGCTCACTTGCTCAGTCCAACGACTTTAATCAAGTTCTCTGCCTGTGCATTAATGAGCAACCTGAAACAGAAACAGACTGAGGGATAACATGCCTGCAGGTGCTTAGTGAACTGAAGGATTGAAATATATATCAAGCAGCCAAGGACAGGGGCATTCTCTGTAGGCGTCAGTAGGAAAAAATAAAAACCAGCTAGATGTGAAACTGAGGCAGACATAACCAAACAGCAGATGTCAAATGGATATATTAACTGTGAGATGTCCATTTGTAGAGGGCTTTGCTACTTCTTCTCACTTCTTTTAGCATCTCCATATCTTTATCCTAAACAGAACACCTTTGGCCTGTTCTGTCTGGTTCTGGATCAGATAAGACCCTGCTGTCAGCCTGGTCCGTGCTACGCTGACATTCTTGTTTACAGCTGTTCAGCACAGTTTACATGTGCCTCACAACAGAGACAGTGCAGAGTAGATACCACTAAAACTAGAGCTTTCATATGCTATTGCCAGGAGAGGTAGTGTTTGCCTCTCTTCTCTGCAGTTATTAAATGATACGCCTATCTTTATCTCTGTATAATGCTGATGTGCAGACTGCAGAAATGAAGACGAGAAATACACAAGTTTGTGCATCCATATGTGATATATTACTTTATTCTAGTTTAATTTCATATGTTGTTTGAATTTTCTTCCTGAATTCGTACACTAATCATCATTTTAACTTGTGGAGGTGGCATAAATAAATACATGACAATTGAGTTTTAATAATGTTAAAATGTGTAAAAGCCTTTTGGTCTAATTGGAAGGCTTGTGTTCATGCATAATATTTTGTGACAAACTGGAAGCGTATACACTGATAATCTAAGTAATTATAAATAGGAGTTTTAGTGGTACAAAGGAAGCCTTCATGCATGAATGCCATCATTTTAGAAGCCTGACGACTTTTGGTACGATGTTAAAAAAGGACTCCAGTTCTTCTTAAACCAGTAAAAACTAAATTCCTGCAGAATCTAAAGCTTGGTTTATGCTTGACGCATTTACTTTCCGCTTGGTGACGCGGCTCGCGGATGGAACGCGCTTCACAACTCGCAGCGTTTATGGTTCATGTGGCTTGTCTCTGCGGTGAGCCAATATTCTCCCAAACTGAACGGGGCAGCATGGAGCTCTACGGCATGCATCCAACACTACACCATAGTAGAAGTAGAAATTACTGTTGTTTACAACATGGCATTCCAGCATTTTTTAACAGTGTCCTCGTCTTTTCCGACAAAGCGAGCTATTTCTCTCCAAGAATTATTAACATGTTGATCACGGTGATCTTTGAGAGCTGAGTCATACATTTGTATGATTTGTATGACTGTATTTACGAACCTCTGCCATGCTAGTTCTTGCCAGTTCGCCATGTTTTTTCGTGTCCGACCGTCCGCATGGTTAGAAAATTTCCTAGGTGCGCGGTGCGGAAAGTTTGGGCCGTGCGGAGGCGCGGTGGAGGGGTGTGGTTGTTAAAATGATGCAATTTTGCCGCGCGGAGCCGTGCGAACCTCGTGGACACGTCAAGCATAAACCAAGCTTAAGATCCACTGTTTTACCTCTCACATAAAAAAAAATTTCTGACTGCTTTACATTTTCAAAGAAAATGTTGTTGGCGATTGTAGCTGCCATTACTCAGAGAAGAATCCTGAAATGTTTGTTTATAGACCCAAATGGCACATCAGTTTATGAACCTGTCTGACTCCCAGACACATTATTCCACCTCTAAACCCCAAATTTGTTACTTGATGATATTAAGACTCTCGTGAGGGTCTTTGGCAAGGAGCCGCTGCATGCTCAGCAGGAATTTGTATCAAGCAATCTCAGCTGTGAACATGAGGTGCTGGAAAAAAAAAGACTTAATCTGAAATAGCAGGAGCGGAAAGCACGGGTGACATTCCAGGAAACTATTTTATTCATTGATTTTCTCTCCCTTTCTTTGTCTTAACACTTTTTTCACACATTT